TGGGTTGGGAATTGTTCTGAGAAAAGGAGGCCAAAGCCATGGATTGGGATGGATGTGAAGACATGTATGTTTCCCAGAATAGAGCTGAGATGGACACAGAAGGCTGAAGGTTTGCATTACAGAGTGAGCCCTGCCAGGTGGTCCCAGGGAGACCCAGACACAGGAAACCACTCAGAAAGAAAAGAAAACGTAAGTAGGATAAAGTAGGAGATTCAGCTACTCCATGAAGCATAAGGAAGAATTTTGCATAGTGCAGGTCTGAAGTCTAAAAGCTTTGAGAGATGGGTTCAATAGACTTTTTCTCATTCTGGGAAGCTCAGAGTATTATTTGCTCCATTTTTATAATAACATTTTGTTCACCAGTTGTGAACCCTGGCTTCTTAGTGGTGAGTTGGTACCACTATAGCTATTAGACATACCTGCATATGTTTTGTGAAATAATTTAATTGGCTTTCAAGCCTATGTTCTAGAAGGACTTACTTCCCAACCTAAAGTGTTGCATTACCATTTGCCTTTGAACCAGAAATGAAGCTCCCAGGAAAATTCTTGATTTGGGGCCAAGAAAGAACTTTTTGATCATCGAGGAAAGGATTTAAAGAGCTAATTTCTCCCAGGCCTCAGTGTTCAGGCAGTAGTACCAATCAAACAGGAAGGCCTTTAGCTCTAAAGATGCCATTACTTCCTGGCAGTCAATAATTCCCTTTCATCACCCTCAACAGCAGGAAATTCTGTCTCACTTTTAATATTATCTCTTACCTCTATTTAGGCTGGGTGGGAAGTGGAGGAAAAAAAAATGAGTTGGTATCCTTTTAACAACCTGCAGGTGCTGGAAAAGTTAAGCCTCTCTCTCTGAGCAATATCATGTCTATCACATTCTTTTTGGCTTTTCTTTCACAGCCACTTAATTATGTGTTACTCTTCTCTGACCTTTTTCAGTTTCTTCATATTCTGTGTAAACTGGTGACTTTGAATAACGATATTGGCAAATGAAATGGGACAAAGGTTTCATGAGATGCAGCAATTTCACAGCTAACTAGCTCCATGACCCCGTTCCTGACCAAAGTGGTACAAAATAAACCTGCAGAATTACCAAGGTGGCAGAACAGACAATATAATTCTCACCAGTATCTGGAATTGAGCAAAAACCAGTTCAAACTGAGATCCAGTCATTTCTGAGCAGGGACATGCTCCTTTATTTCTCTGTTGCCCAGTGGACCAGAGAGAAGGCATTCTAGAAACTGGGCTTTGAAGAGCCTCCTGCAAGATGCCACCCCTTGTTAGAATTGGTGAGAATGGTTCTAGATGGGGGAGTGGGCAGGGAAGTCTGCTTCTTCTGGGGGAGCGTGGAGAGAGAGTTGACATTTGAAAGCAAGAATGCAGTATCCCACTCTTAATTATTAATATTTATGTATTAATAAGCGTGGGTGGCCATAATAAAATCCCATTGACTAGGTGGCTTAGCCAACAGGAATTGATTTTCTCACACTTCTGGAGGGTGGAAGTCAGAGATTAGGGTTGGGATCTGGTGCAGAACCCTTTCCTGCCTTGCAGGCTGTCAGAACCTCACTGTGTCCTCACATGGCCTTTCCATGGTGGTGCATGTAGAGAAAGATAGACAAAGGAAGAGAGCTCTTTCTTATCCTGAAGGCCACCATCTCATCATGAAGGCCCTACCCTTACACCTAGTTTAACCCTAATGACTTCCTAAAGATCTTACCTCCAAATGCTATTGCACTGGGGATTAGGACTTCAATATATGGGTTTGGGGGAGACACAAACATCTACTCCATAATAAATAGTTTTCTATTGCTGGGTAGCAAAGTACCGCCAACTTTACAGTTTGACACAACACCATTAGAGTTTTTTTTTAGGTCAGGAGTCTTGACATGGCCTGGGCAAGTCAACTGGCCAAGGTCTTACAAGGCTGCAAAGTGTTGCCGAGACAACATCTTCTTACAGGTCACTGAGTAGGATCATAAGAGTGATGAATAAACTATCTTCAACTAATCTCATTACTATAATACTTCCCAATTTCAACATTTATCAAAAATTCATAATATTCCACAAATCTTATATTAAAACTACAAAAATTATAAATTTTTAATAGTACCTACCCCATTACATATCTAATATCAACTTATACCATTATCAAATAATTCAAAAAACATCCAAATACCTTCAATTATTACTAATAAAAACATTACATTTAAAACAATTAAATAACACTAAATTCACTTAACTTCCTCAAAAAACGATAATATCCTAAATTGATGAAATATAATTTCTCGTGACCCAACCATATATAAACAACCTTCTATCAACCTTTATTTGTAGAAATATTATAAACCAAACAACAAAAGAACTAATCCAAAAATTCCCATAATCCAACTTTTAAAACATACCTACCTCAAATACATATAACTTGTCTACCGCACCAATTAATCCTTATCTATAAAACCCCATCATGTGTATACTTTTAATAGACAATATCATACAATTTCCCCCAAGATACCTACAATCAACCCAGAGATAACATGTAGATAGTACAGGTATAACGTTAACTTTGTGAGTTGTTGGAGAATTAATCAATATATAATATGGTGTCAATATGATTGATACACACTAATTAGTCTTATACTTACGTCTACAAAGTTAGTATAAAACTGACTCTATGATAAATCAGTGTTTGTAGTTTGTGAACGTGTATCACTATAGTCTTTTCATCAACCTTTGCCCGTTTGTAAAATAAACTTGTGTTACTTCATTATAATTTTTTATGTGAGTGTACATATATCTAGATCTATATAACTATCTGATAGTTCCTCTCAACAACCAAATTATATCATTCATTGTCCGATCTCCATCAAGTGTTTGTTATTATCTCCTTCAATTATTAGTTAATTCTATAAGAGAACTTCATGATAGGATAGTGTTCCAAACATTTATTCGGGAAGCCATATTTAATATTGATTGAGAGAATGTGTGAAGATTAATATAGTGTGTGTGTTAATAGAGCAATGTGCCTCATTCAGCTCGAGAGATAGAGTGCAAGGACTATCATGTGTGTGTGAGATATGAGAGCTGCTCTCTCTCTCTCTCTACAAGTCGCATCCTGTACTTGATTGCTCAATGAATAGATGTGTGTGCGTAGATTATAAATTGTTCGCAAAATACTATTTGTCTAGATTGACTATGTTTGCAAGATGCAGGCTTTGAAGAAAGAATATATATGTGACATGCTTGGGAGCAGAGCCCTGTTGAGCTCTCTTTGGTTCATTTTGTTTGTTTGTTTGCTTTATGTTTGTGTATGTGCATAAGATTCAAAAGTCTTTTGTATGAACCTCTGGTCCAGATGTGTTTGGAAATCCACCTGAGACTAGCATGATAAGGGGATTGATAGAGACTGTTGGGCCTGAGACTTGGCCCTGCCCACTGCAGAAGTGTTTGAGAGTTAACTGGAGTCAGTTGCCAAGGGAACTTGGGGATCTGTTCAGTAGGATACTCTCCTCCTAGGCCTGAGTCAGTCCTTCTGGAATAGAGGAAATGTAGCCAAAGCCCTCCACCCCAGAGCCCATCTACCTGGCCCATGCCCACAGTGGAAAGTTGGGGTGATCTGTCATTACAACAGACCTCATATGAAAATACCTTACTTATAGTGGGGCCTCCAAGAATATTGTTCTGGCAGATGATGGGGGTGAGGGAGTTGGGACCATCTCTGGCATTTGGATATGAGTGACCAGGGGGAGGGGTGCCATTGTAGGAAGCAGGAGTGACAAGAGAAAGACTGGGTTGGGGAGGTAGAGATTGCAGGTTTTTGTTTTTAGACACGTTGAGGCAGTGTGTGACACCGGGAGCAGTGGGCAGCATGACTCAGTGGTCAGGGAAGCATCTGCAAGAGGGGTTGACAGATGGTGTTAGAGGATCCTGAATGATAGATGGATCTCCAGTGGAACCAGAGGGTGGAGGAGAAATAGGTCTGAAGAGAGGTCTTGGGAAGTGGGAAAGGAAAGGTGGGGGGACCTGGAGCAGAGAAGGGTGTTAAGAGAGTGACACAAAGCCTGGGAGGATGTGGTTAACCTCAGGTGTATAAGCTAATCCATGCACTGTGCCCCACACTTAGCAACCCCTCAGGTGACCTTGGGAAGTGTGTGTGGGGGTGGTGAGGGCTGAAGCCGGATTGAGTGGGGCGGGGTGGGGGGAACACCCGTGTTTTGGTGATCTGTCCTGATCTGTCCACCGTGCCTGGACCCATGGACACTGGGAATCAGTGGGCAGTGTGTGCCTCAGGGATTGTGAACCAGGAGTGGAAGGGTGGTTCTCCTGAGAAAGAAGACACAAGGGTGCTTCTGTGGTTAGGGTGACAGGGAGGAGCTGGGATGGGGGTACTTCTAGAAGGTCCTGGGGGGAACACACTCAGTGGGCAGTAGAGGCCGGGGGCGGCCCAGGAAAGGAGCCAGCAGCTCAGTGTCATGTGTGGGAAGCTGGGGGCCTGCTGGTGGCACCGCCTCCTGGTGAGGTGGGAAGCTGACTGGGGGGACCAGGTATGTGAAAGGAGAGGTGGGGCCGCTGGGTCTGCCATGCCCAGTATCCAGACACAGAGGGCAGGTAGCTGGGTGACACACAGGGGGGGAACTCCACCTTTCCCCCAAGGTAGTGTTTCGAATCCTCTCTGTGAGTTTTAAGTCACACGGCCAACTAACTCACAGGACCAGAGTGGAGAAAGTACCCAGTCTGGGTGGAGGCTCTCAGAAGGTGCGTTTGTCCTTGGGCCCGTCCACACACAGCATGAGAGACCTCTCATGAGCTCGCAGCTGTCTCAGAGGCCCTTGTGCCGCCCACAGGGCCTGCAGGCTGTGAGCATCAGGGGGGAGAGCTCCCTCACGTGTGAGGGCCGCCTTCTAGAAACAGTCCTTTCCCAAGCCCAAGTGACCTGTCCTGCTTTGATTGTCTGTTAAAGGTCTCTAGAGGGTCTTACCTCCCTGCACTGTTTGTCTTTCCAGGTGCTGCTCTCAGGACTCATTGGCGTTGTCTCCTGGAAGAGGCCACTGTCACTTGTGGTAAGTCGGCACCTGGTCTCCATGGGCAGCCTTGAAGCGGGGCCCTTCTCGCCGGGGTGTGAGTGCTTTACAGGTGACAGCAAAGAACATTTTGGCTTTCTTTGCAGAAAGCAGGATACAGACCTTATAGAACTGGAACCTCTCAATGCAGAGGGGCTCATTGGTAACAACCACTGCGCATCTTACCCTCTCTACTTCTGAGAATACCCATCAGGTGCCTGTCTGAGATGCTCACATGCCATTCCATTCTCTGCCTTTGTTCTGTTTGGGTGCCCTCATCTGAGGACAGGCTGGGATCAAAGACGTCTTAGTAAGTGTACATGCAAGCACTTCCTCTAGGCGTGTTGTTTGCATATACATACATATGTGTGCATACGAGCACACAAGCCGTGCATACTTCACCGGAGTTCAAGAAATGTTAGCTGCATGTGTGTTCTGGGGACTGAAACTTTGAGTTTCAGAGGAGGATGTTTATTTAAATAGAAGATCAGAGGGGTGCTGCTGGCATTCCCTCTGCCATGGCTGTGACCCTGTGCCAGGGAGGAACAGGCTGCATGGGAGATGGAAAGGAGATGATGGCTTTTCCATTGGGGAAAGTAACCCCGAGCAAATTCATGTTTATTGATTTGTATGATTTGTATGCGTGTTTTTCTCAGCATGTGCATTAATATATTTATGTGTCCGTATCAGGGCCAGACGAAGAGGTTTTCTGGGTTTTGATGGATAATGAAAAAAAAAAAAACATGGTGTGGCTTTTTTCTCTTTTGTAGTAATCAATTATTTAAAATCTCTTAAGTGATTAGGTTTGGAGATAATGACATGTACTAAATATTAATGGGAATAGAAAAACCCCCCACAAATCTTCTTGTTGGAAACACCTCCTCCTCATGAGAATAACTACAGCATCCTGAAGAGGCATTGGGAAGAGAGTGGCATTAATTCAGTGAGCCTCTTCTCCTATGACTTGTTGAGAGATTTCCTTTGCAAAAAAATGTGGTTTTTTTTTTTTTATGTAGAAAGTTTCAAACATGCGCATGAGTAGAGAGAGAAGATAGTATAATGAATCCCCATCTGTCTTCTACAGACACCAACATTTGGCCTGTTTTGATTCCTCCAAGCCCCTTGCTGAAGCATTTTAAAGTACATCACAACCAGTGTGTCAAGAAGCTGACTCCTTTGTGCAGAGGGAAGTGGTGGTGGGCATGCCAGCGTGGGGGCCTGATGTTCTTGGGCTGTGCCTTTGGGTTCCTTTTGTAGACATGGGGCCAGCTTGTTCTATTCCTCCTCACCAGCCTTTATGGTACAGGCTGAGGAAGGCCTCTAACAATGGCTGCCAAATGAAGAAAAACCAAAACTCCTTTTGGTGGGTGTGTGGGCAAAAAGATGAGAGGAATGGTGTCCGTGATCACCCAGCCACTCCTCATGCCTGCCCCAGTCCTAGCCCCAGGATGGAGATTCTTGCAGGGCTGGGCATTGTACTGTGAAGGATGCTATGCAGCTTGTAGCTGAAAAGGAGTCAGGACCCCATGTGGACATGGCTCAGGTGTTTCCTGGGGGAAGCCAGAACAGTAGGATTGGATGCCAGGGCCTCACCCTAGAAAGAGGGATAAAGTACCAGCTGAAGCTGCTACAGCAGAACATTCAAAGTGCCTGCTCACTAGTCCCTGTCCATTGGGGTAGAACCAGTCACCCTCTGGGCCACCGTGAGCATTTCCTCCCCTTGATTTATTTCTGCCCAACCCCCAAGTAGAAGAGAAGGGGTTCCCTCAGCTCAGTTGACCACTTTCCTAACAGGGAGGTAAGGGGATGGGCTAGGATAACAGTAGGTGCTATAACAAACCCCAGACTTCCAGTGGTTTAACACAATGTGAGTTAAGAACCCAAAAGCACAGCCAAAGGACATGCTTCTTTTAGAGTGGCTATTCCAGGCAGTGGGCCACTCCCCCACACAGGGGATCCTGAGACTGTGGTTGCTTCCTTCCTGGGCCATGTTGAGTCCACTGCATTTCAGTGAAAGAGGAATGGCAATGGGAGAGAGTCTGAAGGTTACCTTCGTCACTCTCATGTCACACCTTTGGGGAGAGCCTGTCACATGGACCCATTTGGCTGGAAAGGAGGCTGGACAAAGTAGTCCCTTTCTGGACACAGCACTTCCCAGCAGCAGCTCCATACTGTGAAGAGGAGGGCAAGAATTCTGGTAGACTGGTGTTTCTCTCTACCATAAGAACATTATTCTGTGTTGACCAGGACAATACAGTCTTTTGATTCATTAGTAAAAACTCACTGTCCAGACTCAACCAGAAGGGCGTGAAGTCTGGATTTAAATCATTCGTTTACCCCCAGTTCCTGCTTCTGTCCTCTTCCCTAAAGGTAGTGTTTCCTTCTTCCTGGAGGTATAAAACTGACAGAGCCCCTAGGACTATTCTGGTTCATTTCCAGGGGACACACTGCCCCCTGCCCCCACCAAGGACCCTCCTGGAGTGAAGGAGGCTATCTGTCCTTTGGGGTGGTCTCAAGAGGCAGTGTTGGACTCTGCTGAACCAGGACCTGCACAGCCATGCAGCCTTGCACGTGCCCTGCAAGGGCTGGATGGGTGAGGACAGCAGTGCGTGGGCATGCTGACAACAGGATGTTGTCACTGGTCTGTTGGTAATACCTTTCTCCTGAGTGGCTAGTGCATGTGGGCCTGTCCTAATCTCTGCCTCTCCTTTCTTTTCATTGCTCCAATTTTATAAGACAGAATGGGGTGAGAAAGGGTGTACTTTTCACCGAGTGACTGATAGGAAGGGGAGAAGGGTCAGCAGGCTGTCCGAGAGGATGGGGAGGGAGAATGCCCCTTCCAGGCTGGTGGATGTGATGCCAGAAGGAGGAGGACAAGAAAAATATTGTGACTTTCTTGGGCTGGTATTTTATTTTATTTTATTTATTTTATTTTATTTTATTTTATTTTATTTTATTTTATTTTATTTTATTTTATTTTATTTATTTTATTTATTTTATTTTATTTTATTTATTTTATTTTATTTTACTTTACTTTATTTTATTTTTTAAAAGATTTTATTTATTTATTCATGAGAGACACAGAGAGAGACGCAGAGACATAGGCAGAGGGAGAAGCAGGCTCCATGCAGGGAACCCCATGTGGGATCATGACCTGAGCTAAAGGCTTAATCACCAACCCACCCAGGCATCCCTTGTGCTGGTATTTTATTACTATTTTTTATTTTTATTTTTTTGCACTGCTATTTTAAAGGAGCCTATCATAATGCTGAAACTTAATAGCTATCTCAGTAGAGAATATGTATTTTTGCATCATTGTGGTTCTTTTTATTTTTTTTATTGAAGTGTAATTACCATATGCTTATGTTAGTTATATAGTTCAGGTTATGTTGTTATATTAGTTTATAATTATCATATAATACAATATTAGTTTCAGATGTATTGAATAGTGATTCACCAGTTCTGTACATTACTCAGTACTCATCATAATAAGTGTACTTAGTCCCCATTACCTAGTTCACCCATTCCCCACCCACCACCCATCCGCAACCACCGGTTCTCTTATTTTATTTTATTTTATTTTATTTTATTTTATTTTATTTTATTTTATTTTATTTTATTTTATTTTATTTATTTTATTTTTTGGTTGGTTCTCTTATTTTAAGAGTCTAATTTTTTATCTCTCTTTTTCTATTTACTCATTTGTTTCTTAAATTCCATATATGAGTGAAATCATACGGTTTTGTCTTAGTCTGACTTACTGCACTTAGCATTATATGTTCTAAGGCCATCCATGTTGTTGCAAATGGCAAGATCTCATCCTTTTTTTAAAAAATTTATTTTTATTTATTCATGATAGACATAGAGAGAGAGAGAGAGGCAGAGACACAGGCAGAGGAGAGGGAGAAGCAGACTCCATGACGGGAGCCCGACGCGGGACCCAATCCCAGGACTCCAGGATCGCGCCCTGGGCCAAAGGCAGGTGCGAAACCGTTGAGCCACCCAGGGATCCCCCTGATCTCATCCTTTTTTATGGCCAAGTAATAGTCGTGTGTGTGTGTGTGTGTGTGTGTGTGTGTGTGTGTGTGTGTACCACTTTTTCTTTATCTGTTCGTCTATGGACCAACACTTGGGTTGGTTCCATATCTTAGCTCTTGTAAATAATGCTGCAGTAAACATAAGGGTGCATATGTCTTTTCAAATTAGTGCTTTCATTTCCTTTGGGTAAATACCCAGTAGTGGAATTACCAGATCATATGGTAATTCTGTTTTTAATTTTTTAAGGAACATCCATACTGTTTTCCACAATGGCTGAACCAATTTACATTCCTATCAACAGGACAAAGGATTCCTTTTTCTGTACATCCTCACCAACACTTGTTATCTCTGGTCTTTTTGGTTCTAGCCATTCTGTTGGGTGTAAGGTGATACCTCATTGTGATTTTGATTTGCATTTCCCTGATGATTAGTGATGTTGAGCATCTTTTCACATGTCTGCTGGTCATCTGTTTATCTTCTTTGGAAGAATTCTGTTCAGGTCCTCTGCCCATTTTTAAATCAGATTATTTCATTTTTTGTATTGCATGTATAAGTTCTTTATATATTTTGAATATTAACCTCTTATCTGATATATCATTTGCAAATATCTTCTCTCATTCAATAGGTTGCCTTGTCATTTTGTTGATGATTTCCTTCAGTATGTAAAAGCTTTTCATTTTGATGTAGTCCCAGTAGTTTAATTTTGCTTTTGTTTCCATGGCCTGAGGACACGTATTTAGAAAAATGTTTTGTGGCTGATGGCAAAGAAATTACTATCTATGATTTCTTCTAGGAAGGAATTTTATGGTTCCAGGTCTCACATTTAGGTCTTTAATCCATTTTGAGTTTATTTTTGTATATGGATAAGAAAGTGACCCAGTTTCATTCTTTTGCATGTAGCTGTGCAGTTTTCCCAGCATTATTTGGTGAAGGGACTACCTTTTCCCCATTGTCTCTTCTTG